GGGAATCGATTGTTTTTCTCACTAATTTTACAATGAAATGATGTTGCACTAAACAGCGTTATTCAAAGACCTGCTACGCTGCACCACTTGGCAGCAGCAGGCTGGAGCTGGTCTTCCCGGAGTGCCAATCTTTCCAACTCCAAGTTCAGTGACTTCGCTTTGGTAGCCTGATACTTGTCACGGCATCAGTTATGTCACAGAAATTAGCAAAGCGATACCAGCCAGGCTTCCCTTTTTGGAGACCCAGCTGGTCCACCCGCTCACCTTTGGATATTTGTGATTCAAATGTGCTCTTCAAGCTTTGTTGGTTGACTCTTACTAACCCTTAAATTCTCAGAAATCCTTCCTCCTGGTCCCCTTTCCACTCCTTTTTATCCTCACCTGAGGACATTTTTGCACTAATCTTCAGACAGAACAGGAGGGAGAGAGGGAGGAAGAGAGAGTGAAACATCAATGTGAGAGACACATAGAGTGGCTCGCACCCACATGACCCCAACCAGGGCCGGGGACAAACCGCAACCAAGGGACATGCCCTTAGTGGGAACCGAACCCAGGACTCTCTGGTCCATGCGCCAACGCTCTAACCATTGGGAAAACCGGCCAGGGCCCACTCTTTCCTTAATACCCAGAAGAGGAAGCAGGCAGATCTCTGGGGTGGGAAGGGACCAACTGTTCTCTCAATGGGCTGCTTTTCAGACTTGAGGCCCAGTGTGGTGGCTCTTTCCATGTAATGAATTGGTCCTCGTTCCTTGCAGACCAACACAGAGAGCACTCTTCTCAGGGATGTGTGCAGGTGTGCATCCTTCTGGCCACACAGGCCTCCTCTTCCTCGTTAACCTTTCAGAACCACAATGATCAGGGCAGGGAGGGTCTAGTAGGTTCCTCTTCGCACACCTTTCATCTGGTTTGGATTGGGGGTTTATGTCCATCCGGGAGCCCCGGGAAATTCTTGGGCACTGTTCAGAGGACGGCAGGTGGTATTTGACTGCAGGACCCCCATACTGTCACAGAAACCACCCCCCAAACCCTTGTGAGTGCTAAGCTGTCTGTAAGCCAGAGTGACGACAAATCTTTCCAGGGGCTGTTTGAAAATGCTTTATGGCACATAGGGTTACAAGGCTCTAGCTGAACAAATGGAAAATTAGTCTACCTTAAAATATCTAAGGCAAGTCATTTCCTATCACCTTGTTTCTTAAATGTACTTAACATCTAGAAGCTGGGCTTCCCAAATATATGGACAAGGGTCATCAGTTAAAATGGCAACGCGGAGATAAAAGTCTGCCACTTCAACGGTCGCTCATAAAACAATGCCATCAGCCCCTCCGTTTGGAAAATGGGCGAGAGGAGGCCATTAACAGCAATTATTAAATATTCTTGAATTTAAGAGGGTTCAGCTACTCAGCTAGCCAGCTAGCAGAACCTGACCCCGTGTCCACCAGGGCTCAGCACCAAACCCTCTGCTCTGTCCACAGGGGCTTCCGTGTCTCACATCTTGGGTTTGGCTTGTTTTTTTGTCGTTGTTGTTTTTTCATCTGCTGAAATCATTTGCTTTTCTAGCTCCTTTCTCCAGATTTCTGACCTACTCCTTGCCCCATGAAGAGAGTTAATGACAACTAGATTGGCAGTGAGTTCATTTATTTTCTTGTATTCTTTTCCTGGTTCTTTTTTTGAACCCTTTGGTTCTTTTCATTCCCTTTATTCATTCATTCACTCATTCATTTATTCCATTTCATTCCTTCATAAGGATTTATCAGACAGTGTCTCCTCACTGGGAACTAAGAATGTTAGTTGCTAGGGATACAGTAGTATGCCAGTCAGGAATCTGGCCTGCAAAGAGCTTATCCTTGGGGGTGGGAGCAGAGGGCAGAGAGCAGGGCAATGTGGGAAGGCACAGGACCTACCCCAAAGAGGTAGAGAAGGCTGCATTTGACCTACGACCTGAAAGACGAGCAGGAGTTTGCAGGGGAAGTAAGGGGAAAGAGTATACCAGACAGAGCAAATAATAGGTGCAAAGGCCCTGAGGCACAAGGCAGTCCAATTTAGCAAAGGGGCTAAATTAGTATTGTAGGGATGAAGTATGAAGAGGCTAGTGGTTAGAGATATGGCTGGAGCAATCAGTAGGGGCCAGGTAATGGAAGGCCTAGCATATACTGCGGCAAAAAGGTGGACTGGATTCAGAGGGCCACAGAAAGGCTGGAGCAGAGAGTGACGTGATGAATAAAAATAAACATAATGAAGGGTTGACCCATTCTCCATCACACAGGCACAGCCACTCCTGAGGGGCCTCTAAGTTTCTCAAGATCCTGGTGTTCTTATTAAATTAGTAATCTGGCTTAATGTTGGTAACTGGGGGTAGGGTTGGGGGCAGGGAGGATGACCACGACTCTCAGGGGGCTGCAAAGAAACCAGCTCTATAACTTTAGATGCAAATATGAATCAATGAAATCGCCGGGGCTCACTGCGGTTGGTCTTTTTTGAGGCGGAGATGCTGGACACCGAGATGCGGGGTCTGCTGAGCATTATAACATCTTCCCCGTACGTTTTGGCAGGTGAATTAGTTCACAGACCATGAATTTGAGTCCCTAAATTCTAAACCTTGGCTGAGAAAACAAAGTTTGATAAATGTGTCCAGCTACTGGAATAAAGACCCAGAGCACAAGCAAACCATGAAGTTCAGCCTGTGTCAAAGCAAGAGAAGCCCAGGACCAGTGCTTAGCGTTACACACACGCATGCGCACACACACACACACTCACATGCACACACACACACTCATGCACACACACTTTCCCTTTCTTTCCTTGAAATATCAGTTGTTAACATCAATTCCTAAAATATTTCACGCCTAAAAGGTAATACAATTAAAAGTGACCAAAACAGCCTGGCCAGTTTGGCTCAGCAGTTAAAGCCTCAGCCCATGGACCAAAGAGTCCACAGTTCAATTCCTGGCAAGGGCACGTACCTTGGTTGTGGTTTGTACCCAGCCCCAGTTGGGGTCGTGCAGGAGACAACCAAGCGATGCGTCTCTCTCACATCGATGTTTCTTTCTCTCTCTCGCTCCCTCTCTCCCTCCTGCCTATCTGAAGATAAACAGAAAAATATCCTTGGGTGAGGATTAAAAAAAAAGATCATAATAAAAGTAACCGAACCATGAGGTGTACTTAGGAAAGTTGGAAGTGGGGGTAGCTCAAGAAAAAAAAAAAAATCAGTCAAGAAGAACCATGAATCCAAAAATCACATGATAAACTGTTTCAGTATTCTGTGGGTTTATAATATCTCCAAAATTCCTGTCTTATTAGTATGGGTTCAAAGGAAACCGCCGCACACACTTCAGTTTATTCTCTAGAACACCTTGCCTGCTGTTACCACTTCAGGGGGTGATGGTGAAGGGCTGGCTTTCGTTATTTGACCAAGCACCTAGGTTACAGAGCTTAAATCCCTTTTATTTTTCCCTTTTTAAACTTACCTTTATTGTTGAATGTATTACAGATATCCCTCCTTTCGCCCCCATTGACCCCCCCTCGCAATCCCGCCCCCTCCTGCCTCTGTGTCTACTGGTTGTGCACATGTGCATATGAGCTTAAACCCTTCTGATGATGCAGAGCCCCCCCCCCCCCCGCCCGTCCCCAGAGGCCTGGCTAGCTGTTACTTAGAACCTGTCTTTGGCACTCTTTCCCACCCCCCAGTTCACGGTCGGAAACAGTAGAGCCTAATTTTTCAAATGTATGTTAAATCTAAGAGGTACCAAAAAATGCTAGAGGCAGAGTAAGTGCAGAAGAGGCTCTGTAAAGAAGACCTCCCACAGATGGTGACTCTCGAGACAGCAGTACACTCCAAGTGCTCTGTGATCTTCTGTTGTGCAAGAGTTCTTGGGGAAGCCCGGCCGGTGTGGCTCAGTGGTTGAGCGTGACCCATGCACCAAGAGGTCACTGGTTCGATTCCCAGTCACGGCACATGCCCAGGTTGTGGGCCAGGTCCCCAGTGGGGGGCATGCAGGAGGCAGCCAATCGATGTTCTCTCTCATTGATGTTTCTATCTCTCTCCCCCCTCCCTTCCTCTCTCTCTAAAATCAATAAAGAAACAAAATGTAAAGCGTTCTTGGGGAAGCAGACACTTCCATGCATGCTTTAAAGACGGGAACATGATGCAAAATGGTGCCTTCCAACAACCAACAACTCCCAGAAATTATGACCATCACCACAATTCGTCAAGGAATTCGGTCGTGTTTCAAAAACATGTCCCATGAAAGCACCTCCTGCCCACCCTGTGGGTCCGTGAGTTAGACCCACCGGCCATCTCCGTTGAGAAGGCTGGGCTGCTAGGGAACTGAAAATAAATCCGTCCTGGCAAAACGGGAAATCGTTTGTGGGGGTGGAATTAAACTTCAGTAGTTCTTCTTCCTTTTCTCAATTGTACTTTTATTCATCGCTTCAGCTGGGGGAGAGAGTGCACACATTTAGTTTGGAGTTTATGAGTTCATATTTTATAATTAACGTTGCCAACAGGGGAGTTTGATTAATACCGAGCAGTGGATTTTGAGCAATGTTCCATACAAATTGCCAAATTTAGCAATAAAATAAATTGGTTATGTGAACATAATTAGTAGGATGACTACTTAAAATTCAAAACCGAATGTGAATAATTCCGAATCATCTGAGCCACAAATCCATTATTTGTATAGAAGAGGGAGAGTATAGCATTTGGGTTCTATTTTGCCCTCAACCACAATGCTATTCACCACCAAGCTGAACATAATGAAACTTCTACAATGAGTCGTGACAATATTTTAGAGCAACCCAGAAACACACACACACGTGCGCACGCATACACAAAGGGAATGTCATAAAGATAAGAAATACTCAACCATGAATTTTCAATGCAAATGTGAAAATTGGTAACAAAATTTTCAGCAAATGCTGCAGTACATTTTTCTGACGCGCTCGACATAAACGCGCAAAATTACTCAGCCTTTAAACATTTTCCCTTTAAATATGCACGGTACCTTATTGTCACCCTGGACTTCTCCAAGCCTTTGCTGAAGTTCTTTAATTTCTTCTCCCAGATGCTTATTTCGGTCCTGAGAATCTCTCAATAGCTGTACAAGGTTAGCCTGGAAATATCAACACATTATGAAATACAATAAAAAACAGAGGCATGAATAGACGTGAGGCTTTATCAGGTGTGTGGAGGCTGGTGTCCAAGCCCCGCTGGACCACGCGAAGCCCACAGGGTAAACGTGCACACGACAGCGGCAAGTGTGTCAACCCCGCCACAGCAACTGCATGGAGCCAATGGAGTTGGCCGTGAACCTCCATCTGGGCATGTTCTTTGTTTCCAAGTAATAAAATAGTTGGTTGCATTCGACTTAAAAAGAAATGTAAGAGCTCTCACTAAAACCCTTGCGAATGGACATAGAGTTCCATTCTAAAATCTGGGTCAACAATATAGGAAAAGTTTCATTTCCTTGTTGAGACAGTTTTTCTCCCTTCACATAGAGTGTTTCATAAACTTTCCTTTGCTACCTCAATGCTCGGAATTTTGGTCACAAAAGGAAGCAGCCAGAGAAGGAATGAGTGATGAGACATGGTTTCAGAAGTCGGGATCCAGAGATATTCTAGTCTCCCGGGCTGGTTTTCCCACCTCCTCATTCCCAAACAGCCAGGATGACCACCTGCCAGTCCCGGCTTCAAGACATCACCCCTTCCTTTAGGTCTGCATCCTGCGCAGACAGACCAGATCCCTCCAGCCCGTGTGGGAGGTTGTCCAAAAACCAGCCCACTTCATCTCATACCGTCGCCGCCTTCCCCCATTGCCCTTGGGCACCTTGGACCATGCTCCCATGCCTTCTTCAGGTTCCCCCAACTTGGAACTGCTCGCTCTCCCCAGCTATGGACCTGCTTCGTCCACTCAAGCCTGTAACTTATTCCACGGAGCCTCGCGTGGCTCCCTGCTCTGGGGGACTCTGTATTTTGCGGGCTGTCACTTGCTCCGACGCTGTCCTTGCTTCCCCTGTTCTTATCTAACGTTAGCGAGAAGACTGCAGCTATGGAAAGGCAGGGACTCTCTTCCAGGAAGCCCGTGTTCCCGCAACTGCTGTGAAGACTCATGATAAATAAACAAGGGAAAGAAGCAAGCAATCGGAACATGCTTCCTGGAGAGGAATCGTTCTGAAATCATCACGCGGGGATGTCAAAGACCACCTTGTCGAGTCCCTTCATGTTATAGCTGAGGAAACTGTATTCCAGAGCTCCTGGGACACTGGGGTCACTGTAGTGGCCAGATCTCCAGACTTCAATGCTACTACTTTGGGGAATGCTCAGCCTGTCAGGTACTAAAAAGAGCATAAAGGTGAAGGAATATAAAAATTAAACCTGGGCTCATCCTTGACTCCTCACTGTATCTCATCTGCCATATCCCATCTATCGGGGTATCCAGTGTCCCTACCCTCAAGGTAACCCCACCCAATTCAGCTTCCCTCCAAGGTCCTTGCTGATCCCCACATGTATCAGACGGGACCCCAGCTCAGCGCTGCTCACTGTTCTCTGGAATGCTCCCCCTCTTGGCTCACACCCTCACCTTTTTCAGGCCTTTGTTCAAAGTTCATGGTCTCCAGGGGACCCATCTAAACCATTTCATCTAACACCGCAACCTGCTCACCTCCCCCTGGACCCCCAAGCCCAATCCCCTTCACTACTTTTCCATTTTTCCACAGCACTTGTCATCTTTTAATATACCATGCAGTTTACTTTATGGTTTATTGCTTACTATGCAATTCCTACCTCCTTCTCCGTGGTAAAGTGGAAGTTACATGAAGGGCAAGGAAACTTGTTTCCTCTACTGATCCACTTCAAGCACCTAGTAGATACTCCATAATTTTTTTAAATGTTTTTATTGATTTTTTTTTTTAGAGAGAGAGGAACGGAGAGAGAGATAAAAACATCGATGTGAGAGAGAAACACCCATTGCCTGCCTCCTACAAGCCTCCTACGAGGGATCAAGCCCACAATCCGGCACATGCCATGACCGGAAATCAAACTAGGACCTCTCAGTCCACGGGAAGATGCTCAATCCACTGAGCCACACTGGCTGGGCCATAAATATATTTTTTTAAATGAGAGACAATATGCTGAGCTTGGAAGTTTTGATCTCAGCCTAAGGAGGGATCTCAAATAGTGTGACAACAATGACCAACACTAAAACCAGTACCCAGCACGAAGTCTTGCATAAAAAAGCCCACTTATCTGCATGGGCTGGATTTAACCAATCCGATTTCTACTCAGTTCTTTGTGGACATTACTTAATAATGTGACCTAATTTTTCTACCCCATAGTTGCAAAGCTCATATCTTGTAATAATTGCATTCCAATTTCCCCAGATTCTGTTCCTGAGCAGATAAAAATTTGGTGAAGGATGAGGAAAATTAACTCCCATTTTACAGGGCAGAAAGCAAAGAAACAAGAGACACTGTTACCAACAAGCTATTTTTGGAAATTTCTCTCGATGGAATCAGAAGAATTAAGCTGGATCACAGCCCTGCCTCTTATTGGGCTGGGTGACCTTGGATGCCTTTCTTAACCTCTTGAGTTTCCCCGTCTGTAAAATGGAGTCACCATACATACTTCACGTGGGGACTGGATACTAAAATTGAGTCATGAACCCAGGACGCCTCCCACAGTGCTTGGTGTACACAGGCACTGGTCAAAGCCTGGTTGCCCCTCCGTGACTATGTGCTTCCCCTGCCCCAACTCAAGCACAGTGAACCCTTGGGTAGATACGGCCGGAGGCCTCCTGTGTGATCCGCCTCTTCACTGTTCCTTACACTTCTATTCATTCACACAACAAATATTTCCTGAGCACCTGCCATGTGCCTGCTCTAGACTCTGGGGCCACAGCAGCGAGCGACACAGATGCACCCCTGTAAGCGTACATTTTAACAGGTGGCTTTGCATTGTATTATAGTAAAAGCTATAATGGCCCAGTAGTTGGATGATTAGTGCTATGGAGAAAAACAAAGCAGGCAAAGGGTGCTGAGTGTGCCTCACTGGGAAGGCCACGTTTCAACCAAGACTTCACCAAGGAGAGAGCGTGAGCAAGAGCCTTGTAGAAACCCTGGGGCCAGGGGCAGGGGGCGGGATGGGGGTTCCAGCCACCAGCTTCCCTCTCCCCCTCTCCCCCATCGCATGGAAACACTTCCACTCTGGAGAGCAGTTCACGCGAGAGATTGCAATGAGGTGGACAGATGATTGAGTTCTTGGACTGTTTTTCCAGTTCTTTGCCTGGTCCCCTCCCTCTATCCCATACTCTTCTTCCTTAGCCCAGACCATCCCAAATGGCAGCCTCCGTGTCCCCCCACAACCCCAGAACGTCTCCTAGACATTAGCTCAGCAAGCAGAATCCCTTTCCAAAGCTGGGGGACAGGCCCCAGGCCCAGTGGCTAGCCAGCCCAGGAGGGGAGGGGCCCAGTGCTGAAGGCAGCCGCCCAGGAGCCCGCTGCCGCCTGCACAGGGCCAGGCTCTCAGCACGTCTGCCGGACACACAGCAGGCTTCACCTTCTCAGCAGCGTCTTTTCTTAGACGGTGGAAGAGATGCTCGGGAAGAAATGCTTGTAAGAGTAACAGTGGAAACGTCATCAAAGATAAACAACGACCTAAAATTCTGCGATGTTCCTAACCTTCCCTTTTTGAATGAACAATGCTCGAGCCCCTCAGGTGGGTGGCTGTTTGCCCACCAACCCATCCCAGTATCCATCAGTACAGCTCCATCTCTCTGTGGTGAGAGAGCAGCTCGCTACCTTTACTCCCTCACAAACCAGGACTCTTGCAAAATACAACAAAAATCAATTACTGGGAAAATGAATTGAAGAAGACATCAAGACCCCCATGTGTCTGTTAGATTCAAAAATCAGGCTGTCTGATTGCTATCAAACTTTCTGAACACTTCCTCTCAGTTTCTGCACTTAGCTTGTCCGGAAATAGCAGCTCGCACCCTGGCACGGGTCCTGGGCCTCACTCTGAACAGAGCTGAGCTCAGCCATGCTCCTGGTACTCAGACATCAGGTGGGCATCCAGTATATACCTCCAAGTCCAAGTGGTATATAAAGCAGGAAACAGCGATTCAGAGACCTGGTGATGCTACTGTCAAACATTATTTACTCTGCAGCCTGGCTAAAAAGAAATCTACCGAAATAAAATCGGACATGTCTACGGCGGCTGCAAAACAACAGTCCATCAGAACCGCACTGCCTCCAAGTGAGTTCACAGTAAATCTACACCAGCTTTCAAAAGGACCCCTGGGCTGGGCCGGGGTGGGGGAGTGATCCCACCTTATAGCAGGCGACTTGTAATTTTCTCTTACATTTCACAGGCTGGATTACTTGTCAACACACAATTCCTTCCTATTCATCAGGCCTTCCACCTCCTCAACTCCAAAACAATAACTTTGAACACTAGAAAATGACTATGCTGATACGGTGCCTAACACCTTAAAGAACAAAACGAAAGGCAGCAACGGAAAGTAGTACATTTCAAAGCATCAAAATACAGGAGAAGAGTTCACACGATTCTTCTGACCAAAAATAACACCATGACTCACACACATTCATTGCAACAGTCCATCAAGCGGACCCCGACGCCTGCTCTACTGTGTAACCCCGCAGCGTGTTTGTGTCCGCGTTACGGAGAAGGGTCCCGTGACAGCGGGTTCAGAATAGCAGCACTAAGTGCCGGAAATGACAGGGAAACAGTGTCAGACGCTGGGAAGGATATCACAGGGAAAGGAAACAAAACTCAGAGATTATTTCCTCTAAATCTCTGGGGCAGGTGGGAGCATAAATAGCGAAACCTGAAAAGGCTTAAAAAGAAGCCTCTTTTCAGGATTCAGATCTAGCCAGGGCCGACCGTCAAGGTTGACGTTTTAGCTCTGATTATAGCGGAAGGCTGATACGGTGGAATATATTGTAGAATCCATATCTGTTCAAGTTGCTCTTTTTGGATAGACGTTTATCTATTAAAATCGGGATGGGGAAGGAAGGAAAGAGAGAGTTGATGAAAATATAGCCAGGAGACCCGAGCTGAAAGCATATCGCAGCTCTCCATTCCGACAGACTCCCTT